CATGCAGCTCAGAAAGAAAGGACACTCTGGGGAGAAGCAGCAGGCAGCCCCCAGGACCTGGGACATGCCCTCCCTGCAGGTGGTCTGTCTCTGGAACCTAATCACTCTTCCCCATGAAAGGGATCAGATTCTCTTCAATACCTATGAGATTGATTCTCAAGGGTTGAATTCATGCAGGAAACCCAGACTGTGAATTTGAATTCCTTGCACTTTTCTAATCCTAAGAGTGACTAAAATACATAGCCTGAGCCTATTAAAGAAATTATGACTAAAACAACAAAAGAACAGACATGGGAAAGAATTCATGTCTGAAATTAAAACAAGGTGATCATTTCTTAATTTTTTCTTATTTATTTATTTTGAGACAGAGTCTCACTGTGTTGGTACAGTGCCATGACATCACAGCTCACAGCAACCTCAAACTCTTGGGGTTAAGCGATTTTCTTGCCTCAGCCTCCCAAGTAGCTGGGACTATGGGCACTCGCCACAACACCCAGCTATTTTTTTTTTTTTATTAAATCATAACTGTGTACATTAATGCAATTATGGGGTACAATATGCTGGTTTTATATACCATTTGAAATATTTTCATCAAATTGGTTAATATAGACTTCACATCATTTTCTTAGTTATTTATATAACCATAAATATAAAAGACATTTATACTTTACACTTAGTAAATTTAAGATGTACCCTTGTAAAATGCACTGTAGTTGTGTTCTGGCTATTTTTTGGTCGTAGTTGTCGTTGTTCAGCAGGTCCAGACTGGGCTTGAACCTGCCAGCTTCGGTGTATGTGGCTGGCACCCTACTCACTGAGCTACAAGTGCTGAGCCTTTTTTCATTTTAATGTAAGTCAGGGTCTCACTTGGTTGCTCCAACTAGTCTCAAATGCCTGGGCTCAAGCCATCCTCCCACTTTAGGCTCCCCAGTAGCTGGAATTACAGGCATGAGACACCATGTCCACTGATTATTTTTTGATTACCTAAATAAAGCTTACTTTTTTATTCCATCTGATTGCAAAATTGGGGAAAAGGCCTATTTAATTGTTATGGCCATCTTAATTCACATGCAGTTTGAGAGGTCAAGACATCTCCTGAAACTCACACAGAGTTGCGTGAGATAGTGGTCTGCAAGACTGCTGGCAAATCTGCTGAGAAGAGAGCTCGTGATAAAGCTCTGCCCACAAACCTTGCCCACATAGGCCTTCTCCCTGAGTGTGTCCTCCACTACAAGATGAGGTTTAATTTATTAATTTATTGCTGAGTGCCTCACATTCTCCCTTTCCACTCTCATAAAGCTTCTCCCCAAAAAGCTGTTCTCTGATGAGGCATACATTTTCCCCCAGTCTACCCATTCTCTCTGCACAACAGAACTTCTACTCTGTGTACTCAGCCACACTCCTTTTACACCACAGATGTCTCAGACCAGACTGCCTGGAGATAGATAGGAGAATCTGGGTTTGTTAGGGCAAGACTGGGTAGAGGAAGGAGCTGATCCACAATGTGTTCACAACTAATAGATCAGTCAGTTCAATGGGGATCATGGGGACCTCTGGATCTCCGATGGACCCTTTGGAGTTATCCCAGTTGAGGGTTTTGTTTCCCTACATGAACCAGTTATTGAGGAGGATCCCCCCACCCTGGGAAGGTGCATAACCCTTGGTCACACAGCTTCCTGGAGCTAAGAGCCAGTTCCAGTAAGGAGAGCAGCTCTGCCTGCAGCAGCAGAGTTCTCTTGAGCAGCTGGAGTGTTTTAGCCCTGAAAAGCTCATCTGGGTATTGTCAGGACCCACTTCTGACACCACTCATCAGGGCTTGGGACTGGCCAGGTCTCGGGCTCGGCTTAGGTAGGTTCCGGATGCAGACCACTAAGCTACCTTGCTCAAGAACAGTTTCTCTTAGGTGCTTGAGGGCTATCCACTTAGAGTTAGAGAGAGAGAGAATCTTAGAAAGTAAAGCAGTCTTTTTAGCATGGATAGATCTTAGTCTTTAGCAGAGCTTGGTAATTTTCAGCAGAGAGATGCTGTGCTGGCATTCTGCAGGCAGAAGAGGAGACACAGTCAGAGTAAGCATGTCCATGATAGAATGCACATGCTTTTTGACTGCCTTCTCCTCCAGCCTAATATAAGGCTGAGCTCGTGCCTCTCAACATGACTGCCAATTCACCAATGCTCTCATCTTGCAAGCTCTCATGCTTGTTAGAACTAAATCTCTCTCCATGCCCTTTTCAACAAGGTGTTCCACTACAGGTATTTCCTATAACTCTCACTCCTCTTAGCCAAAGGATATATGGGTGCTACATTTTTCCCCTTTTTTATATACAAACAAAATGTGGTAAGGGCAGTTCTTCCTGTTATCTGGCCCTTTTCTTTCTAGGCAAAAGATGGTAATTGTCAGAGTTCAAAATCCCAGGTATGGGCTCTTTAAATGAGGAAGCCCCATACAGATGTAAACTATTAGCCCCTACTAGTGATAAATGATGACTGTGATGTTAATTTCCTTAAAGGTCTTTTTAAACGGAGAAAACAAACTGTAAAATCTTTCCTGAGAGAATTTACCATTTCTTTAACTGTACAAACTTTGAAATTTACTTTAATGCTTTCCTTGCAATCTCTGCAAGTAAGGATTTTTCTCTCGCTATTCCAAAGGTTTTGCTACTCGTGCTCCTAAATCCACCCTTCACAGATGAAAAGACTGTTACTCGCGGACTAATGGTTCCACCCTTCACAGTTCCTCTCAGAGGCTGTTACTCTTGGTCCTCAGTGGTCCCACACTTCACAATTCCTCCATAGCAGAGTTTTTCCTGCTTTCAAGCTGCTTTTCCAGCAGAATTTTTGCTAATTGATTCCAGACTCTTTTCAAATGGAGTTCCCTAGCACAAAGGTGGTTTAACTTTTAGTTACTCTTCCTTCCCTTTGTTCTCACCTCTCATAATCTTCCAAAGGCTTCACTAGTGCTTCCCCTTTGGGCCATGGTTATTTAGCTGGACCCGGTTATAGTACACAAATGCTGATGAGAGGTCAGTTACCCCTTCACCACGCAGGATAACCTAATATTCCACAAATATATTTAATCTAATTATTCTCCATCATCATCCATTGGTCTGGTTTAATTTCCCCAGTTTTACACTGGGCACCACAGGTCTAACCAAGCTGGCAGAGTGCTCCCATGGCATAGAGTCGTACTGTTTTTCTGAGAATAGTTTGAAACTAAACTATTGAACTGTTTATTCTTTCATTTACCAGTGGGTCCTGATTGTGGCCCAACTGATAATTTCCCTACAATAAAGGTGTTCCATCTTTGTCAAATTGAGAACAGCATTCATGCCCAGTGAAAACCTTTTTTTACACATGGGACATATACCTGGAGGTTTACATGCTCTTTGTTCCTTTTCTTTAGCTTTCAAAGTTCTTTTCCCTCTGATCTTCCAGCTGCCCAATTTGAGTTGTCATGTCAATACAGCATTTACCTGCTTCTACTATAAGATTATTTTTTGATCTCTCAACTGTTTTATATCAGCTGCCATGATCTTAATTTGGTCTTTAAGCTATTTTATCTGATACTTCAACTGTTGTATCTAACTTTCCATGATTCTTTTCTACTGACTTTCTTTGGGCCTTCTACTTTTTACAATCTTTCCTTTTCAAATCTTAGAACCTTTGGCTGCCTTAAAGGGACAGGAACTCTTTAGCTATTTCTTTTACGCTGGAGTCCTAGCTTTTTTACAAAACTTGACTTCCTCTAGCTCTTCACCAGCCTCCTTAATCTACCTCACTTCTTTTTAAACAGAACTCTTAACTGCAAAAAAGAGATTCGGGCTTTAGTCTCTCAAAAACTACTTCCTGCTGGCATTGGGCAAAGATATATGGGAAGGCAGTTGCAAGTTCTCATCCCTAACTTAATAAACTCTTGCAACTTATTCCCAAACTTTTCTCTTAGCTGTTTTATGAAGGCTTTTCTCACCCCTAAGGCTAAAGACTTGTTTGCTAAAGGTTCTTATCTCCTACTTCTATCTTTTCTCTTTCCCTCCTGTCTAAAGGCTTTTTTCTGCTTTTTTCTCTAGCCACTTCACAGAAGAGGCTAAAGGCTTTTACTGGCTTTTTCCCCCCACAGAAGTAGTTAAAATTTGGAAAGAGAAAACATAGGAAAGAAGAGAAAAACAAAATGAAAAAGACCTGTTGTTGGCTATCTTTCTATTTCTTTTCCCTCTAAATATTTCTATTTCTCTTCTCTTTTTCTTATTTACTAAAGCTTATTTCCCTCTCAGTCCATGTTCACTGAATCCTGCTCACAGAAGCATCTGTCAGTAGCATTCACTATCCGGCTTCTGACATCACTTGTCAGAACCCGGGACTGGCCAGGTCTTGGGCCCGGCTTAGGTAGGTTCCAGATGCGGACCACTAAGCTACCTTGCTCAGGAACAGCTTCTCTTAGGTGCTTGAGGGCTAGCTACTTTAGCTGGAGAGAGAGAGAATCTTAGAGAGAGTAAAGCAGTCTTCTTAGCATGGATAGATCTTAGTCTTTAGCAGAGCTTGGTAATCTTCAGCAGAGAGATGCTGTGCTGGCATTCTGTAGGCAGGAGAGGAGACAGAGTCAGAGTAAGCATGTCCATGATAGAATGCACATGCTTTTTGACTGCCTTCTCCTCCAGCCTAATATAAGGCTGAGCTCGTGCCTCTCAACACCACCAATGCTCTCATCTTGCAAGCTCTCATGCTTGTTAGAACTAAATCTCTCTCCATGCCCTTTTCAGCAAGATGTTCATTACAGGTATTTCCTATAGCTCTCTCTCCTCCTAGCCATAGGCTATACAGGCTGCTACAGGGTACAGCTCCATAGCATCCCCACAACCGGATACTCCCTGCAATGTATGTCCACAAAAGTCTTGCCCAAGTGCCAGCCACATACACCGGAGCTGGCAGGTTGGAACCCAGCCAGGGCCCGCCAAACGACAACTACAACCAAAAAAAAAAAAATAGCCAGGCGTTGTAGCAGACACCTGTCATGCCCATACTCTCTGCAAATAAAGACTCTTCCTAAGTGCACCATCTTGTGCCTGACTGTTCTTTCATGGAGGCTCACACACTCCCTGAAAATGTTGACACTTTTCCCAGCATCTGCCACTAGACTTTCAATAAATGTTGACTCATTGCTGAAGCCTCACCCACAGTCCCTGCACATACAAATTTGTCCCAAGTGTGTCCTTTCGTGCATGCTGGAGGGTGACTTATGGCCACAGGCTCCTCCCCTGTACATGTCCCTCAGTGCTTGATGCGGGTGACACATCTCTGAAACTTCACTCACACCGGGCACACGTGGGAACTACTCCCTGTGTCTCTCTCTGGTGTAGCATAAAGTCTGACTGCTCAAGTCTGCCCACGACCCCTGCATATACCCTGCATATACAAGGCTTCTCCCTTCAGTGTGTCCTCTGATGTCTGATGAGATTGGACTTGTAGCCAAAGCCTCGCCCACACTCCCTGCAAACGTACCACTTCTCCCCTGAGTGTGTCCTCTGGGAGACAAGGAGTGACTTCTGGCTAGAGCCTCGGCCACGGTCAGACTTGGCACTTGTAAGGCCTCGGCGAATGTAAGGCTTCTCTCCTGAGTGTGTCCTCTCATGCACAATGAGGGCTGACTTGTCACAAAAGCCCCTCCCACATTCCCCACAAACATAAGGCTTTTCATTAGCATGTGTCCTCTGGTGTCTAATCAGGTTTGACTTTTGGCTATAGCCTCGCCCACACTCCCTGCAAACATAATGCTTCTCCCCTGAGTGCGTCCTCTGGTGGACGAGGAGGAGGGACTTTCGGCTAAAGCCTCGGCCACACTCACTGCACGTGTAAGGCTTCTCTCCTGAGTGCATCCTCTCATGCACAATGAGGTTTGACTTGTCACAAAAGCCCCTCCCACATTCCCTACAAATGTAAGGCTTTTCATTTGAATGTGTCCTCTGGTGTCTAATCAGGTTTGACTTTTGGCTAAAGCCTCGCCTGCACTCCCTGCAAACATAAGGCTTGTCCCCTGAGTGCGTCCTCTGATGTTTTCTGAGGGTTGACTTATCACTAAAGCCTCGTCCACATTCCAGGCAAATGTAGGGTTTCTCACCTGAGTGTGTTCTCTGGTGTCTGATGAAGGATGACTTCTGGCTAAAGCCTCGCTCACACTCACTGCACATATAGGGCTTCTCCCCTGAGTGAGTCCACTGATGTCTACTGAGGATGGACTTATTTCTAAAGCTTTGCCCACATTCTCTGCACAAATAAGGCTTTTCTTCTGAATGTGTTCGCCGGTGTCTGGTGAGGTTGGACTTTTGGCTAAAGCCTCGCCCACACTCACTGCACTCATATGGCTTCTCACCCGTGTGTGTCCTTTGGCAGTTAATAAGGACAGACATCTGGCTAAAGCCTCGGCCACACTCACCGCACACATAAGGCTTCTCCACTGACTGTGTCCAATGGTGTCTGATAAGGATTGACCTGTCTTTAAAGCCTGGCCCACAATCACTGCAAACATAGGGCTTCTCCCGGAAGAGTACCCTTGGGTTTGTAATAAAGTTTGATTCCAAGTTACAGTCTGATTCAAACTCTCTACAGTTGACTGCTCCAAATCTTAAGGTGTCTAATTCCTTTGATCCTCTGTCTGATTGCACTAGGTTTACTCTTTGGGCTGAGATGCGCTCTGCTTCCACCACCACATTGCCTTCTCTAGGACTTGCTGACTGTCCTTGGAGTGGGCTACAGGATGCCCTTGAGGTCTCTCTCTCCTCTGTCTTTGCAGACAAAAGTTTAGAGCCAGCTTCTTCCTCTTGATCTGTCTTTTTACTGCAGCAGCTTTGATCAGAATACTGCTGCTCCTGCTGTTCCTGATGCCCTGGTCTGGAATTCCCTGGATGATGATCTGCACATAAGCCCAGGAAGATCCGAAACACATGTTGGCTGAGGAACTGCTGACAGGAGAAGGCCAGAAGACAGGAGGAACAAGGATAGATTTCTGGGTTTGGTTCTGCTGAAGAAAGAAAGTTTTCGGTTAGAATACCTGCCTTATATTAGGACCCAAGGCGTCTCACTGCCACATTTGTAATTGATAATATATGTACAACACAATTTGCTTCTGACCCATAATTCCTTTATAGTCCACTTTACATATTACAATTTCTACTGCAATCCAGAAAATCCACACCGAAAACACCTTCTATGTCAGACTAGGAATCTTTTGAGTCTGCTCTGTAAACAGATTTAATTATAGTTAGGCTTTACTTCTACTAAAATCATCTAAGCCACACACACTCACATCCATATACTGTCCACAACTTGTGTTCTACATGGAGGTAATGGTCTCAATGACCCATGTGGAAATCCCCTTCATGGCTTTTCTCAATATAAAAAAAGGGACTGATAGACATAAAAATGTAGGAGATAATATGAGAAATACTGGTTGAAGAGATTATATATGAAGTGAAGCTGAATTTCAAGCTGCCCACCTGTGAATTTCTTAGAAAATTTCTAAGTGCTAGATTCTCACTGGATTCAGCAGTGAACAGGAAAGACATGGTCCACAATTTTAGGATTCCAGCACCAAGCTGATCCGAACCTTCCCTTCTTTCAGTTTTTCAAAATTAGTATAAAAAAGGAACATTTCATTTACAGAAGTACCTGCCTATGAGATAAAAACCAGATACTGCATCTCATCACAACTGGACCTATTCAAATGATGCAGATAAATGACCCTGTACTTGGACCCAGACCCCAACTGGACCTGAGGACGCCTGCCTGACCAATGAAAGGTGGAGTCTTTATATTGAACTATACCCAAAGACTCATCCTATCCTAGCCAGACTATCATGAAATTAGCATAACTACCATGAAACCCCTACCTAACAGTTAAAACCCTAAGTTCTCCCCTTCACCAAAAGATACAGTAAAATCACTGTTGTATCACTGGTGAGTAAATGCCTTGTGCCTTTTGGTCTTCTGACCTGTTGTGATGTTGGTTTTGGTTTTCCCTTTGGCAACTCTGACAAGGCCCTCACAAGTGCTGGAGCCGCGGGGCTACACAGTTAACTGAGCCCTGTGTGCACACAGCTGCCCGTCTGACAGCCTGCCACAGGTGAGTTTCTCAGAAGTTGCCAGCCTTTGGTTGCTCTCACTGGGCACTCCCTGAGTTTAGTTTGTTTACTTTGGTTCTCAAAGTAACCATAATTCATGACTTGTTTTATTTCTGGCCAGTCATGTCTCATAAGACTTTGTGATAATTTTAGAGTTTTGTGACCTAAACTTTCAGTCTTGATTTTTTTGAGTGTGACTTTTTGCTGTCTTCCCTTTGACTATAGTCTATTATACCCTACATCCCTGAGAACTATTTCAGTTGAAGAAATCCCATTTGTGTTAATTCTGTGTTAAAATGGGGACAACAGCTCATTACAGTTAACCCCTTTTAAAGGAACTTCCTGTATACTCATAATTCTAAACCCTATGTCTTACTAGTAAAATGTCGTTATTTCACTAAATAATTTAGACTTATAGAGACCACTTTATATCATGCCCCATTGCCACATATTAAATCAGCATTTATTTCTAAAGAACTCTGTAGTTGAGAGAACTGGCTTCCCAAATCATATTTATTCATTTGCTTAACCTTAAAATGCAAGGAATGTAGTTTCAGAATAGTTGAGCAACTCCTTACAAAAAACAAGTATACAAAATACAGTTTAAGATATGTGTGCAGTTTTTCTTTGTCAGTAGAGGAGTTGGCCAATTTCTTCTGTAAAGAATCAAGTAGTAAATATTTTAAGCTTTCTAGGTCACATGGTCTCTGCTGCAATTACTTAACTCTGCCACTGTAGCACTAAGGCAGCCATAAATACATAAATGAATGAACATGACCATGTTTCAAAATCCTTTATTTAAAAAAATTGGCAGTGAGACAGATTCAGCCTGTAGATCACAGTTTGCCAATCCCTGCTGCACTAGGATATATGGTCAACCTCACTGTTCAAAGGATAACTGAGTTATTTTCCCCGTTGTCTGTGGTCATGTTATTCTTTTGAAACTCAGGTAGTTTTGTTTCTCATTGTCCCCTCTCTTTGTTGAGTGTGTAAAACACTACTATGTTCCAAAAGTAAAAAACTATTCAGAAAGTTCTCCTCAGACCTTTGGAAATGCCTCTTTTCCATATCCTTCTAGCCTGATTCCACACAAAACCTCCCAGGAATCCAATTTCATTTATTTCTGGTTTATTTATCCTGTGTTACTTTGTGCAGAAAAGCAAACAAACATATATATTTCTGCTTCTCCTAATTTCTCACTTTTTTTTTTTTTTTTTTAGATAGAGTCTCACTAGAGTCTCAGTAGAGTGCTGTTGACTCTTGGGCTTCAGCAATTCACTTGCCTCAGCCTCCCAAGTAGCTGGGACTACAGGCGCCCACCACAACACCTGGCTTTTTTTTGTTATAGTTGTCATTGTGGTTTAGCTGGCCCAGGCTGGGTTCAAACCCACCACCCTCAGTGTATACGGCTGGCGCCATAACCACTATGCTACAGGCATGGGGCCAATTTCACACTTCTTAAAATATTCTTTGCACCTGGCTTTTTTCACTTAATATATCCTATAACCCACTCCATATCATTTCAGAGAGATCGTCCTTATTCTTTTTAATACCTTTGAAGAAACCCCCTAGAAGGTTGTACCATAATTTCTTCAACCAATTTACTACATAGGGACAATTAGGATATTTATAATATTTTATATACAAATAATGAATAACCTTGTACAAATGTATTTTCACATTGTTGTTGGCAGTAAATCATCAGAGTAAATTCCTATAAGTAGTACTGCCAGGTCAAAGCATACGCATTTATGGTTTTGTGGGGTATTGCCGAACTCCTCTCCATATGGCTGTACCATTTCTGTATTACCATCTGCACTTGTACTATATCCCTCAACTTTGCCAACAGTGTTTTGTCAACCTTTTGAAATGTTGCCAGTATGATAGGTGACAATGGTGTGCAGTTTTAATTTGCTCGTATCTCTTTAGAAATGAGGTTGAACATCTTTTGACACACTTAGGGGCAATTCATACTTTGTGAATTGTCTCTTCAGGGATATTGCCCACTTTCTATTTGGTTTCTTTTCCTCAGATTTTAATATTCACTCTTCATTACAGAAAATAACCTTTTATATGTGATATATTGCACATGATAAATATGTCCCAGAAGTTTCTCTTGTGACTTGGCTTCTAATGTGAAATTTAACAATCTTCTCTTTTATGCACCTGGACTTTTAACCAAATTTAGAAAACCTTTTCCTATGCTCACCTGGGTATAGGAATCTTACAGAAGATTTACTCATATTTTATTCTAGTATGTCCATGATTAATTTTTTTACATTTAGGTCTCTAGTCATTTGGCATTTTTCTGTGTATAGTGTATGGTATGTTCCAAAGTTTCTCTAAATGGATATCCAGTTGCCCAATACCATTTATGAAAATGTCCATCTTTACTCCAGAGATTTGAGATGCCACCTTTATCACACACCAAAGTTCCTAAGTACTTGAGTCTATTCTTAACCTTCTCTTTGATTCTTCTGGTCCATTTCACTATTCATGTGCTAGCACCACAGTGTTTTAATTCTAAGGTTTCATAGTATGTTTTAGTATCTAATACGCAGAGCACCCTTTTATAAGTTTTATTTTTCAGTGTATTCCTGGCTACTTTTCCATGATTATTTTTCTACATGAATTTCACAAAAGAGCTTATTACTAATTTTGTATACAGATATGTTAACTTTAAGAATTACCTCAGTGATAAAGTCCCTAGTTAGATAAAGGGACTTTATCTAATAATTAAATCTAGCTGATTTAATTTACAAATATATATATTTTAAAAATAAAATAAATTTTGGCATACATTTGGTATTAGATGCCACCACAAACTTTGTTGAATGTGATAATGGTATTGTGGTTATGTAAGAAATTATCTTTAATTTTTAGAGACATGTGATTTTTTAAGGATAAAATATCATGATATTTAGGATTAACTTTAAAATAAAGCAAAGAAGAGAGAAATAAAGGATGAAGCAAGTGGGTAATTCCTGCTCCTCCTTGACCCGCATTAACCCTACAAGTCCTTACTGCCTTTTTAAGGTTCAACTTAAGCTTCCCTCTTGCAGTAAATTATATTTTGGTTACATATTGGCTAACCCTCCCCACTGAGCCCATCTCTGAAGAAGGATTATCTTTCCCACCACAATGACATCAGACTTGGCTTTGGGATGTGCCTTGGCTGACCAAGGTTAGTAGCAAGTTAATGCACTTTCAAACAAGTTTTAAGAGCAAAAGTGTGGTTCCATAAAGCATCACAAGAATGGAGAAGCAAGAAGCCAATGTATTCAATTCTAATATAAAGGCTAATACAAGTGGGGGTAGGGGAATAAGGGAGCACGGAGAGGGGAGGTGGGAGGAGGATGGGGGGGTCACAGTGTATGGCAGACCTCTTGGGGATGGGACACAATTATAAAAGGGACTTTAACAAACTTAATCAGTGTGACCAATGTACTGAATCCCAAACAATTAAAAAAAAAATGTGGTTCTTTGGCTGGGCACAGTGGCTCATGCCTAAATCCCAGCACTTGGGAGGCCAAAGGGGGTGGATTTGCCTGAGCTCACAGGTTTGAGACCAGCCTGAGCCAGAGCTAGTCCTCATCTCTAAAAATAGCTGGGTGTTGTAGTGGGCACCTGTAGTCCTAGCTACTTGAGAGGCTAAACCAAGAGAATTGCTTAAGCCCAGGAGTTTGAGGTTGCTATGAGTTATGATACCACAGCACTCTACCAAGGGCAACAAGTGAGACTCTGTCTCAAAAAAAAAAGGAAAAAAAAATGTGGTTCCATCATTGCTTTTTTTCCTTAAAAACCCCATGACCCAGATAGCGGCTGTTCCTTTCATTTGGATCCCACAACCAACAGAGTTAAGCTAAATCTGAACTACCGCCAAAAGTAAATGTGAGAAATTACTATCTGCTATTATAAGCCAATGAGGTATTGACTTTGTTGGTTATCACACGATAATCTAATATACAGTATCACCCCTATGAAGGCTTTAAGGATTATTTCAAGGAGAACTGACCCATTTATTTCTACCAGGGTCCTTACATTATAATATGCATATGCAAAGAAACACAGAAAAAGATACTGAGAGAAAAAATAGTATGCTCTCAATTTTTTATAATATTGAGAATAAACTTGTGGTTGTTTTTCAGACAAGTAGAAATATGGGGATAAAGCACAGGTGAGACAGTGACAGAAAACGGGTTCATTATAATATATGATTGGGGAAAATTATTAAAGTTCATAAATTGTTAAAGGACGTGAATACAGACACAGAAAGAGAGTATGTGACAGCAGGTCCTATGGACCTCTACAGTCTATAGGAAGAGATAGACGTAAAAGAAAAGCACAAAAAAGAGACCTAAGAGTCCAGGGAACTACAGTTTACAGTGTCAAGCAAGATAAAGGAAACTATTTCAAGGAATGCAATTAGGATTTTACGTTTTCAATGTCAAGATTAATTCAAACAAGGTCATTTTAACATTTTCCTCTGAACTAGTTAAATGTATTAAGAGAAAGAAGGAGAATAAAATGACTACAGAAAAATAAAAATAAAATCTAGTTAGGCTAACTAGCTAAGGCCAAATCAAAACATATAGAACCATTAAAAAATAATAATAAATTGAACCAGATTGAAATAAATGACTGTATACTGATTTAGATGGAGCCAGGTCAGATGAGGCTGGTTCAAATCAGGGTGAATCAGCTCAAAACACATAAAAAAAGATGAAAATGGAACAAAATAAACCTAATTAGTTCGTATCAAGGAAAAAGCCATGCCTTTTAAGGAAATCTTAAAGAAATTCCTGCCTGAAATTGGTTTACGACTCTAAAAATGTGAATTCTTCTTTCCATACTTTATCTAGAAGAACACCTAGAAAGGCACCATCCACTGGATGGTACCATATGTGCTTATGGAGCACTTGGACAGTCTGAACTAACATGCACTCAAAGTGTAAAATACACACAGATTTTAAAGACTTAGTATTAAAAAATGAGTAAAATATATAATTATTTTTAATGTTAATTACATGTTAAAATTATATTATGACATATTGGGTTAAATAAAATAATCTTATTAAAATTGATTTCACCTGTTTAGTTATACTCTTTTTTTATCTACTTACTAGGAAATTTAAAATTACCTAAGTGGCTCATATTATATTTCTATTAGACAGCACTGATCTAGGCAAAGGAGCAGAAAACTGTGGCCTAAAGACTAAATCTGATGCCTTTTTTCATATAACCTACAAGCTGAAAGTGGTTTTTACATTTTTAAATGGTTAGAAAAAACTCAAGAGTAGTAATATTTCATGATATATGAAATTCAAATTTTAGTGTCCATAAATAAAGTTTTATTGGAACACTCATCCATGTATGTGTTAGTTACAGCTGCTTTTGCATTACAGCAGCAAAGGTAAGACTGCACTACCTGCAAAACCCAAAATAGTTATGTTTAGCCCTTTAGAGAAAAAGTTGGCCAACCCCTCACCCAGCATAATGTTGCAGTTGATAGCATTTATCAATCCAGATTTAAAGAATCATTATATATTCTTAAGCAAATGAAAATACATGTGTATGCTTTATGATACCCAAAAGCCAAGCATTTATCTACTCAGATTTAAAGACTCATTATATGTTTTAAACAAATGAAAATATATGTATATGCTTTATGAAACCCAAAGCCACCAAAAATTTGATGGTTATAATCACTACTCTCTGCCTTGCAAACTATGCCCCAGCTTCAGTGGCTGTCTTGCAGTTTCCTTTACTGGGTGGACACATCCCTTCCATAAGGTCTTAGCATCACTGATTTCTTCCACCTAAAATGTTCTTATCCTACATATCTAGAGTTCAAACTTCTTCATCACATTCTGTCTTTGGTCAAATGTTATTACTTCCTCATTGATTTCAAATACCCAATTTTAAAATTCAGCCAGTCATCTTAACACCCTCAATACTCCTTTATCCTGCTTTATTTTATTGTTGCTTTTTACTATGTAGCAGTTATTGCCCTTTAACATACCGTATTTCAATACTTCTCGGTATATGAAGCTATTGGTTTGGTGTCTATCTCCTCCATGGAGGAAAGGATTATTATTTCACTTACTAATGTATTATAAGTATCTAGAACACTTTCCAGTACACAGTAGGTGATTGATGAATCTCTACTGAATTAATGAAGGAAAGAACACAGTCTCACCCAACGAAAGCAGATTGCTGTAATTCTCCAGCATCACTTCTTTATAGAGGTTCTTCTGCTCCATGCTCAATCTCTTCCATTCTGCCTCTGTGAAGATCACAGCTACATCCCTAAATGTAACTGGTGCCTACAAACAGACAGTAAGTTAATGTACAGCAAGACACCAAAATTTTGCCTGTAAGAGAAGCATAGCTAGGAGCCCTAGAGAGTTTGGATATACAAGAAGTTGATCTAATTCTTTTCAGGATATACAATTTTCCATATGATGTTCTTCTGGGCACTACTATGTGTCTGGCTTTATGTTAAAACCTGTGGGGAGGTTGCACAAAACACATTCTAGGGCTTTGATCACTTACAACTTAAATGGAGAAATAATTTGAGAATCAATCTGAAAACCTCAAGTGTTCAGAACGGTGACCCTGTGCACTTGTAATGAAGGAATTCAGAAGTGGAACAGCAAAAGATAGGCTGGAGAAGGAAAAACGGCATCATGGACTTGGGGCTGTTCTGGGCAGCAGGGAGTGGTAAAGATTTACAGAAGAAAATGGAAGAAAACTTTGACTACCAGAAAAATGGGAGTCAATGATAGGGTCTGGAATGAGTTATTTTTGAAACGTCCGGATTATTATTTTTGAAATGTCCAGATGACTAAATGGGATCTGTAAAACCCCCATCTTTCCCTATGTATTTTAACAATCTTTTTCCAAATAAAGCCCCTAATGCTTCACTTATCTAAGTGTTGACTGCTTTCTCCCTTCCCAAGAAAGAAAATATATGTCTATTCTCTGGAAAATGAATTGATTCAGAAAAAAAAAATAACCCCTACTCACCAGCACTTGGGCCCTTCCCTTCTCTTGGGGCCAGTAAATATAATTAGAATGCAAACCTAGGGAAAGAAAAAGAAGCTATGAGAAACCAGAATGCCCATGACCCTCCAAGAGTAGCTTTTCTGAGCCTCAGGATGGAGAAAGTAGCCACTACACTCAGCTGTGACCTCTGAAGCATTCTCAAATGAACCTGGAGCCCTGGTACCCTCTTCACCTCTCCAGACCCTCAACAATTCTCACCTTTTGCCTTATTATTTTGAGACAATTTCTTCATGGTCTCCATATCTTTCTCATTCTCTGAAGGCAAAATCTTCTCCCAGACTTGCTCTCATAGTACAGAAGAATCAGGCAACATCATGGCCCCAGAGTTAGCCCAGCATATGTCTTGAAATTCTGCCAGAGAGCCAAGTAGATATTATTTCATCTTAAGGTAGATTTCTGGTGTGTAGTGTAACTTCCAACCTTAATTGTAAAAGCCCACCTCATTTCCATGCAACCAGGACCTGCAGGATGGAGAAGCAAATGGACGTTGTTGGGGCCTTTATTATGGGCCCTAAGCTTTATGCCTCTTCAGCAGGGACCCTGTCCTCTTACACGCATTCAACTAACATGGAGTCTCCGTCTAAAGGGGTTTTCAACTTTCATTCATTCTACCTTCATTTCTAGGCCTTCAAGTCTGTCTTCTGCCACTCTCCCTTAGCTTTCTTTTTTTTTTTCTTTTGAGACAGAGCCTCAAGCTGTCCCGCTGGGTAGAGTGCCGTGGCATCACAGCTCACAGTAACCTCCAACTCCTGGGCTCAAGTGAGTCTCCTGCCTCAGCCTCCCAAGTAGCTGGGACTACAGGCACCCACCACAACGCCTGGCTATTTTTTGGTTGCAGCTGTCATTGTTATTTGGCAGGCCCGGGCCACCTTAGGTGTACGTGGCTGGCGCCTTAGCCACTTGAGCCACAGGCGCCGAGCCTCCCTTAGCTTTCAAAATGAACAAGTTCTTCCACGTCTGCACCTGAGATTCAAACTCCATGTCTTGGATCAATTTCTGCCACCTAGAGCCTGAGTCAAAGAGGAAACAGAATGTAACATAATGCCTGTGGAGAAAGACCTCTGAATGTCTTCTGCTGACCAATCAGGGCATGCAGAATTCAGATGCTGACTCTCTGAGCCAAGGTTCTAATTGTGTCTCTATGTCCCTCTATGTCCCTATACTCTCAGGAGTTTTGGAGATCTATATTGAGTCCTTCTTACCTTAGCAAGAGCCCTAGGTCTCACAATGATTTTGTAAAGATAACCCCCCAAATTCCATCTCTATATGCATGCACCACATGACCTTATCAGAGGTGCACACTGGTGTCTCCTAATAGGCCCATGTTAAAATTCTCCACTCATGTAGTCCCAAGGATCTCTACCACCCTCAGAAGCTCCTCAGACACCTCATCCAGGATCTCAGCCCAAATGACTACAGGCCTCGCAATGCCTGGTACCCTTCTGAGGCTTAGGTGGCTTAGGCTTCCCTTGAGAAGTTCTTGAGATTCATCCCCCAACATCAGAGGCAGAGATGATTACTCCCTCTTTTGTCCAACCTGGCCATCTCACCTTAATCATACGATATTGCAATTTTTCTATTTATTATGACTAGCTTTACTAAAATGTAAGAAAAACCGCATCTCAGTCTTTTTTGCTAGTTCAATCCTAGTGATAATAGGTAGATTTTGGGCCAGGCATGGTGGCTCACATAATCCTAGCACTCTGGGAGGCCAAGGTGGGTAGATAGCTTGAGCTCAGAAGTTCAAGACCAGCCTGAGCAAGAGCAAGGCCCTGTCCCTGCTAAAAATATAACAAGTAGATTTTATCATCATTCTCAATTATTTGTTTCTCTATAACTGGATTGTACTTCCCTGACCCTGACATTAGCCTTGGCCTCATGACTTGTCTTGTACAATGAAATGTGAATGAAAATGATGTGCTGTTTCTAAGCATGGCATGATTCCACCATTTCTCTGGTCCTAAGAACAGCATTTCCCCAAAGGGGCTGTGGTTCTACTGTAAAAAAAGGTCATGATCCAGAGTTAAAGCCAATTTACAAATGGAGGAGGAGTAAGATTGGGTTTGAAGGCTCAGCACCCATAGCTAAGTGGTTAGGGCACCTGCCACATACACTGGGGCTGGCGAGTTTGAACTGAAGCCTGCTAAACAACAACAACTACAACAGAAAAATAGCCAGGCACTGTGGTGGGTATCTGCAGTCTTGCTACTCTAGCTACTTGGGAGGCTGAGGCAAGAGAATTGCTTGAGCCCAAGAGTTTGAGGTTGCTGTGAGTTATGACATCACAGCTGTCTACTGAGGGTGACAAAGTGAGACACTGACTCAAAAAAAAAAAAAAAAAAAGATTGGATTTGAGGCTGGGTGCAGTGGCTTATGCCTGTAATCCTGGCACTATGGGAGGCCAAGGCAGGTAGATTGTTTGAACTCAGGAGTTTGAGACCAGCCTGAGCAAGAGTAAGACCCCTGCCTCTACTAAAAATAGAAGGAAAAAAAAAAAAAAGCCAGGTGTCACTGGCGAGTACCTGTTGTCCCAGCTACTAGGGAGGCTGAGGCAAGAGTAGTGCTTGAGACCAAGAGTTTCAAGTTGCTGTGAGCTATGATAACACCATGGCACTCTACCCAGGGCATCAGAATGAAACTCTATCTCAAAAAAAAGAAAAAAATTTTTGTCACAACACAGCCAAGAGGCAGATACTGATGTTCTTTCCATCTCACAGACGGCACTGAAGAACTAAAAGGTTGGTTTACTTGTCCTTAAGATTACCAGGCCTAAAAGCCAAGATTCTCATTCCAAAGCCCTTTTTCTTTACCATTGCTTATAATAATGTCCACTGAACAAATGACTCAATGAATGGACAAAAATAAGCAGAGGGTTTAAAATTCACCCTGAGTCTTAGAAATAAAAACAACTCTGGAAACATCACCTTGGCAGATTTCAGGTTATATTACAAGGCTTTAGTGATCAAAACAGCATGGTATTGGCACAAAAAGAGACATGTAGATCTATGAAATAGGATAGAGAATCTAGAGATGAGCCCAGCCACATATTGTCATTTAATCTTTGAGAAGCATAACAAAAACATACAATGGGGAAAAGAATCCTTATTTAACAAATGGGGCTGGGAGAACTGCTTATCCACATGCAGAAGACTGAAACTGGACCCGCACCTCTGACCATTGACAAAAATTGATTCTCATTGGATAAAAGATTTAAATTTAAGACATGAAACAATAAAAATTCCAGAGGACAGTATAGGGAAAACACTTGAAGACACTGGTCTAGGAGAAAACTTTATGAGGAAGATCCCACCCCCCCCCCAGCAACACCAAAAATAAATAACTAGGATGTGATCAAGCTTAAAAGCTTTTGCACAGCTACAAGTACCACAAACAAAGCAAACAGAGAGCCTTCAGAATGAGAGAAGGTTTTTGCATGTTATGAATCTGACAAAGAATTGATAACTAGAATTTACAGAGCACTCAGTTAAACAATAAGAGAAGTGCAAACCTCTCTATAAGTGAGCAAGACATCTGAACAGGAACTTCTCTGAGGATGACAGACAAATGACCAACAAACACATGAAAAAATGTTCATCATCTTTAATCATCAGAGAAATGCAAATCAAAACCACTCTAAGATATCACCTAACCCCAGCAGGATTAGCTCACCTCACAAAGTCTCAAAACACCAGATGCTGGCATGGATGTGGAGAGATGGGAACACTTCTACACTGCTGGTGGGATTGCAAACTAATACAGCCTTTTTGGAGAGAAGTTTTGAGAATCCTCAAAGAATTAAAAGTTGACCTTCCATTTGACCCTGCAATCCCATTACTAGGTATCTACCCAGAAGAACATAAATCATTTTACCACAAAGACATCTGCACTAGAATGTTTATTGCAGTTCAATTCATAATTGCCAAGTTGTGGAAGCAACCTAAGTGCCCATCAACCCATGAATGGATCAACAAACTGTGGTACATGTACACCATGGAATATTACTCAGCCATTAAAAAAGATGGAGACTGGCTCGGCACCTGTGGCTCAAGCGACTAAGGTGCCAGCCACATACACCTGAGCTGGTGGGTTCGAATCCAGCCTGGGCCTGCCAAACAACAATGACTGCTGCAACCAAAAAACAGCCAGGCTGTTGTGGTGGGTGCCTATAGTCCTAACTACCTGGGAGGCTGAGGCAAGAGAATCGCTTAAGCCCAGGAGATGGAGGTTGCTGTGAGCTGTGATGCCACAGCACTCTACCCAGAGCAACAGCTTGAGGCTCTGTCTCAAAAAAAGAAAAAAAGGATGGAGACTTTACATCTTTACATCTACCTGTACATCTACCTGGACAGAGGTGAAATACATTCTTCTTAGTAAAGTATCACAAGAATAGAAAAATAAATAGCCAATGTACTCCATACTAATATGAAATCAATATATAAACAATTACACGTTCATAAGAATAATAAAACACTGATATAATCCAGTTCGGGGGCAGGGGGAAGTGGAAGGGGGAAGAGGGAGGACATTCGGCACAAGGAGGGAGGGCATGAGGCGAGTTCTCACCTAATGTGCACATTGTGAGGGTGTATAAGACATCCCCTTGGTGAGGGGCTCTTCTACAAATGGAAGGTTACCCTGGACACGAGAACAATGTAACCTAAAAATTGTACCCTTATATTAATTTGAATAAAGTTTAAAAATAAATAAACAAATAAATAAAAATAAATTCACCCTGAGGAAGACAGAATCCTCAGCATGAAGTAGAGAAAAGGGTCTGTATTAGTTAGGATGGGCGAGTCATTGTGTAGTAACGAACACCCCCTCCCCCCCAATCTCAGTGGCTTAAGGTAATGAAGATTTATTTCTCAGTCAGGCTCTATGTACATCATGTGTTAAATGCAATTGTGCTAAGTTACCTTCACTCCAGGACCGAAGTGCAGCTTCTATTTGTAAAATGCCAATATGACAGAGGGAGATGAAAGATGGAGAACTATACACAGGCTCTTAGAAATCTCACCAGAAGAGATACTTCTGACCATAGCTCATTGGCAAATCAAGTCACATGGTCATTTCTAAGCTCAGCAGGGTAGGATGTATACCTAGGAAAAGGTCACACAGAGGGATGCCAGGATATTTGATGAAGAGTGAAATATGCTACAAGGTCCCAAGCCCACAAACTCACTCCTAGCCAGCTCTAGTCCCCGCTACTGATTGGGACTTCAAGGTGCCAGGACAGGGGTCCTCAAACTTCTTAAACAAGGGGCCAGTTCACTGTCCCTCAGACCACTGGAGGGCTGGACTGCAGGCCCCGGGACGAGCCGGCTGCTAAGCAGGACAGGCAGCAGCGGCAAAAACACCCAGCGGGCTGGATAAATGTCCCAGGTGGGCTGCATGTGGCCCATGGGCTGTAGTTTGAGGTCACCTGTGCTAGGATCTGTGGCTGTGCCTAGAACACAAAAATAAAGGACATAGTCCCTACACTTGTCACACCATCAGAAAACAGCTAGGGATCTTACTGTCCAGGAGAAACCTAAGTCATCAAAGATAGAAGGCTATCAGGGAAGACCTAAAGAAATGAAAAGGATGCTGCTGTTTAGAAGTCTGCCCATCTATCCAAGAAGCAACACTCCAGGCAAAGGGGATAAACAGTCTGCTCAAAAGGTGAGAGGGGAGGGGAAGAGACAGAGAGAGAAAGCACGGGTAATTTCCTGGGAGAATATAAATTGCCTAAAATCAAGCCAAAAAAATAAAAGAAAAAAGAGAAAAATGAACAAAGTATTAACCAACTTAAAAATGAAAGGGAAGCCAAAGATCTGCTGTCACCAAAGACACCAAATTTTCATAATTTTATCGGTCAATTCTAACAAAATGTTGAGAAATGGGTGATTCTTGTAATAAATATTAAGTGCTCTAAAACATTACAAAAATGCTTCCTAACTGATTCATCAAGGACAGCAAAAGCAAACAAAATGTGACCTTGAGGGATTTGGGATGAAATAGGAATTTCAGAATGTTGGTAACGAAAGAAGTGTTAAATTCTAATACTCAGCCATGTTACACAGGCTGAGAAGTGTATGTCAGTTCTCCTATAAAATGGGAATTTTGATTCCTAACTTTCAAATTGTTGAGGGATTAAAATATCATTGTGACTGTAAACCTAGTGCCAGGCACAGGACAACTTCCCAATAAATGGTGGTTACCATGATTTTTTTATTTCACGGCACCTGACACAGCCATAGGAATACAACAGCCAGGATGAAGCATTGTTGGAGCTAGGATGGTGGGAATCTGAATGAGAGCACTGGTCTGCGACAATATTCGCTGCAGAGGTCCATACCCATAAAATGGCCCTGATATCCTGGGGAAACAAGCAGAACCTAGACCCTCAAACGGGACATTGAGGGCACAAGATGTCAGGATGAGCAAAGAAAATTCTCCCACTATTTGGAGCAGAGAGGACAAACATGAAAAGTAGGTGACCCACCTGGAATTAGGTTGTCAGGAGCACAGATGTCCTCTCTTTCTCAACAGACAGTCCCTTCCCATCAGGCAGGGATTCAAGAAGGTAGACCTGAAGAAACAGACAATATGAGCTTCAGGATTGTTTCCTGGCCCCTAGATATGAGGCTAGAAATCCCCAAGTTTAAAATGAGGGGGTATCCCCTTCCTTTAAAAAAAAGCCTCAGGTCTGCTAGAGAAGAGAAGAATGTAGACAGCTTCTAGGAGATAGAGCCAGGTGTGGGCATCAGAATACAGCCTGCTCTAACATTCTACTACTATATATTTATCTTTTTAATACTATGGGCCTCCAGTTGTGATATTACTAGTAATAGTTAACACTTACTAAACTCTTACTGTATACCAGAGACAATTCTAAGCACTGTACAAATTTTACCTTCCAAACGTTCCATGAGTTAGGTTTTGTGATAAACAGGCACAGTTATATATCTTGTTCAAATTGACAAGTACCTAGATTTGAAGTTTAGCTGTGGAGGGCCACACAATTAGTCATCTGGGTCAATGGTAATGTAAACAGTGTACAGCTCTTGTGGGGTCTGACTATTCTCAAAGTATATGCACACATGGCATTGAATCTAGATTGGCCATGAGTTAACAAAAGTTGAATTTGGTGATAGGTCCATGGTGGGGGGGGGGGAGGGTGTCCCTGTATGATTCTACAGGGTAGGTTTAAAATTTGTCTTTAAATATTTTTTAAAAACTTGAAATCCCGACACCTGGCCCACCATATGCCAGAAGTAACATAGATAGTCGAACAACAGCTCTCAGAAGTCCCCACCCTTAGGGAGTCCCTAACCCCCTTAAAGCCCCAATTCAGAGATCTGGCCCTAACACTTGAGAGAAGAGCACCCAAGAAAAGAAGGAATCAGCCAGACTGGCCACACACATTACAACCAAACCCAGGATCTTTGCCACAAAGCAGAGAAGGCACCTGCCACACAATAAACCCTGGAACAAGAGGTCCCAGAAAACAGAGCCCCCATTCAAAAAACTGCCCAGATGCAGGCCAGAAGGATACAGTCTGCTATTACTAGGAAACAAAATCTCCCTCACCTCTCTAAAAACCTCGGGAACTCCAGACCCAGACACCCTCCCCACCCCCACCCCCTTAAGGATATTTTGACCACGTTGGGCTCACCAACTATTCCCCACACTCACCAGAACAAATCAAGGCATGTCAAGGCCTGAGATGTCCTCTCTCCCACCTATGCTCAAACACCAGCCCACCTCAGAAAGGAAAAAAAATAAAACAAAAACTTCGGATTTCAAGATCAGCCCTAGGTTTCCACAATCACTCCGTGATGCAGAACCCAAGTAAACGATCCCTAGCCAAAAGACCACCCGAGGATAAAAGCCCCCTGGCCACACCCCTCGTCCCAACACAGAGGTTGTGGCCTTGTTTAGACCTGGCTGAACTCATGCCCACAGCCCGAATAAACCCCAGGGATGCACCATTATGATTTAAACGCTCTCCCTATGAGACTAGGGCCTCCCTCCCTATCTGGAAATTGTCTGGCGCCGAATAATCCCACCACCGCTAAAAAAAACTGGAGTTCCAGATCAATCCTGCCGCAGCTAGGGAAGTAAGGTCCTCGCCGCGCCCAGAAATTCAGAGATCCCAGGCTGTCGGCGTTTCTCCATTGCCCCGCCCCAAAAGCTCGCCTCGAGCCGCACACCCTCCTCTAAAACCCAAACACGCGCAACCCGCCGGCGGGCGCCTCGCCAGGGCTGCAAGGCCGCCCGCACTCCCCTGCCAGCCACACTCTACCCTGAATCCTCACCTGGGTCTGGCCTTTCCCGACCATACCCGCCGCACGAGAAGGGGCATCCTGAGGCCAAGGACCCGGAGAGCCCTCGCTCAACAGCCGGTCGCTGCAGCGGTTGCGTGGGTCGCTGCCCCGCCAGAACTACAATTCCCAGAATCCTCGCGGGCCCCCGCTCCCCGGGGCCGTCGCGAAGGCGCTGCCGGGGCGTTAATTTAACAGGACAATGGCTGTTGCAGTGACAGCCTCCCTTCTCTTTTCTTAAAATACCCAGGCTGAAAATAGGTACCGGTTCCCAAGCGAAGTTTTTGTCGCAGTGGCCCATTCCTTAGAAAGACTACACTCCCCAGACGTCTCTACGGCACCTTCGAAGGCGCTTCCGGATTCCGGAGAAGGCGTTTCCGGTTTTATATTCTCCAATGGCCAATTTGCTGTGGAAGAGCACCAATTAGCCGAGTGCTTTCGCTTCAGGGACCGTAACGTCCACATCAACTTACGTGGAGACGATCTGGGTTTGAGTTCGTGCTTTCCTGGCACCCCTGTGGTCATCGCTGTTTTACTTGGATGTTGGGAGGGAGATAGACGGACAAAGCCACCTCCCAAAGTTTCTCTTGAGCCCTTACCCTCAACTCCAGTGCATTCCTTTGGGTGCCTTGTAGTCAGTTTCCTCTTGACAAACTTCTTAAAGTTAGTGACAAACTCTCATCCGGTTCTTGGAGATGGAAGCCTCGCTCAGGCTGGAATCTGGCTGTCTGGCCACTTAGGTAAGGTCCTGGTTAAGAACTGGGCTGCGCTCATACCTTCTGCAACAGGCCAGTTGGGGTTCGGCAAAGCAGACCTTCAGCTTATGGGGAGAGCGTTTAACTCTTAACGGTCAATAAAAATTAAATTGAATTTTCCTGCTGCCAAAAGTGAAATAGACCAGTCCTCTCTCCTTTAGAGTATTTCCATGAGAATTTTATTTGTAAATCATTTTCCCTTTGATGTGTATATAATTCTTTAAAAGGCTGAAAGAGCATCTTGCCGACTTTGCAATGTAGGAGTGTTTTTCTTAAAGGCCTAGGGAGCCATCTCTTTGAAATGTAAACATTAAGGAAGATAATGCCTCTATCTCCCTAGAAGTGTGGCTTAGGTGCCTAGTTCCAAACTGTAACTGCCTGGTTGTCATACATAGAAGTAGTTTTATTTTTCTTTCTGATAAAGGCAGTTAACTAGCACAAATACCCCAATTATCAGATGAATTTAGGATGAACTATGAAAAATTGGACTGCAGGGCGGTGCCTGTGGCTCAGGGGGGAGGGCGCCGGCCCCATTAGCCGGGCGTTGTGGCGGGTGCCTGTAGTCCCAGCTACTCGGGAGGTTGAGGCAAGAGAATCGCCTAAGCCCAGGAGTTGGAAGTTGCTGTGAGCTGTATGACGCCACAGCCCTCTACCCAGAGCGATAAAGTGAGACTCCGTCTCTACAAAAAAATTTTAAAAAAAAATATTATGCTGCAAACAATGCCAAATCTTTTCACAGGAGGGCAGATTATCTTTAATCTTCAGAACATGTTTGTAGTAGATTGTATCTGTTCAACTAGATAAAAAGTGAAATTTCTTTCTGTCTTTAGAATCTCATTAACAGATCATCTATGATGATCACCTATCTCTCAATTTCTGGGCACTTCGAAGTCTCAATAATAAAACTATTCTCTTTTTTACATTTGTAAAGAGGATTTTGTGCATTGCCAGGAGATTTTATTTTTATTTTCTCCAACGCTTTGCCTCCTTCTACCCTCTTATTTCTCTTCACCTTCCCTATATCACTCTTTCGAGATTTCTCTGTTTTCTAGTGCTCAAGAGACAAAGAAGAGGGCCCCCAAGGCCACCATGAGCCAAGAGAGATATAAAAATTTCCTGAAATTGTGTCTAGCTTCCACAGAATGCACTGATTCCCTTCTCTTATCTTGGAGGCTGTCATATTAGCATTGAGCAGAATCCAGCCCTGGACCTGGAGCCCTCCCTCAGCATCCTTCTGTGTTCCATTGTGACTATTATTCATCAAATGAATAACAGACATGGAACAGTTGAAGTAAAAATACAACAACAAAAAAAATGAAGTAAAAATACAAGGACAGAGGTGATATCAATGGGAAATCTCTGCGCCTTCTGTTTAATTTTGCTGTGAATTTAATGCTTTCCTAAAACTGAAGTTTCTGTTTATTAAAAAGAAAAGGTAGGGAAACTGTGCAGACTTTTTACTTGTCCTTGCCCCACTCCCCTCCGTGACTCCTCAGTAGTCTTGAAGCTCGCATTCACAGCATGAGTTGCATTGATGACAGACCCACAGTTAACATATTCAATGATGAAAACTGAAAACTTTCCGCCTAAGATCAGTGACAAGACAAAAAGAGGCCAACTTTTGCCTTTTCTATGCAATATTGTACTGGAAGATCTATCCAGAACAATTAAAGAGAGAGAAAGAGAGAAAGGAAGGAAGGAAGAGGGAGGAAAGGAAGGCGATCCAAATAGAAAGAAAGGAAGGAAGGAAGGGGGCGGGAGGGAGGGAGGGGAGGAGGGCAATCCAAATTGGAAACAAAAAAGAAAAACTATCTTGTGCTTGCTTTGGCAGCACATACACTAAAATTGGAAGGATACAGAGAAGATTAGCATGGCCCCTGTGCAAGGATGACATGCAAATTCATGAAGCGTTCCATATTTTTTGTTGTGCATTCTTCAATAATCACTTGAACAAAACTGTCAAATGAAAAGTAAAACTGTCTTCTTCACATATTCACAGATAATGTGATCTTGTATGTAGTAAATCCTGTATTTCTGTAGCTCACAGTGAACAATTTGAAAATTAAGAAAATGATTCCATTTATAATAGTATCAAAAAGAATAGCATACTTAAAATCTAAACAAGGAGGTATGAGACTTATACACTGATAATAAGAAAATACTACTGAAAAACATGTAAAGATATAAATGGAACTATAACATGTGCTCATAGATTAGAAGATTTAATTTACTTTGTCGCCCCTAATAGAGTGATGTGGAGTCATAGCTCACAGCAACCCCTGACTCTTGGAATCAAGCAATTCTCTTGCCTCAGCCTCCTAAGTAGCTGGGACTATGGGCGCCTGCTACAATTCACAGCTATTGTTTTTTGTTTTGGGGGGTTTTTTTTGGAGAGGGGGGTTCGTTGCTCTTACTGAGGCTGGTCTCAAACCCCGTGAGCTCAGGCAGTCCACACACCTTGGCCCCCCGGAGTGCTAAGATTACAGGCATGAGCCACCGTACCCAGCCAAAGATTTAATTTTGTTAAGATGGCCATACTCCCCAAATAAATCTATAAATTCAATGCTATCCCTGTCAAAATTACAATGGCTGTTTTACATAAATAGTATAGGAAGTCTGATCCTAAAGTTTATATGGAATTTCTAGGGACCGCAAATAGCCAAGACAATTTTGCAAAAGATGGACAAAGTTGGGGGACTTCCACACTTAATACAAAGCTTTGGTAATCAAAAAGTATGATATAAGGAGATACGTAAAAAACAGTGGATAGAATTGAGAGTCCAGAAAGAAACCCATACAGTAGTAGTTAACTGATTTTAAACTAGGGTGCTGACGCTACTATGGGGAAAGAACGGTCTCGTCAATAAATACTGCTGGAACAACTGGATAACCACATGCAAAAGAAGTTGGACCTCTACCTCCCACTATATACAAAAATTAACTCAAAGTGAATAAAAAGCTAAAATATAAAAGTTGAAACTCTGAAGCAAAGTTAGAAAAATTAGCTGGGCATGATGGAATATGCTTGGAGTTCTCAGCAATTTAAGAGGCTGAGAGAGGTGGATCACTTGAATCCAGAAGTCAGAGGTTGCAGTGAGCTATGATGGCATCACTGCACTCTAGCCCAGGCAACAGACTGGGCTATTGAGACTCTATATCAATATAAAAATAAAAATGAAATAAGATAAAATAAATGGCAAAAAAACAGGCTCAGTGTACTCCTTTAGGAGGCCAAGGCAGGTGGATTGCTTGAGCTAAGATTTCGAGACCGCCTGAGCAAGAGTGAGATCTCAACTCTACTAAAAATGAAAAACTGAGGCAAGAGGATAGCTTGAACCCCAGGTTCGAGGTTACTTGGAGCTACAATGCCTTGGTACTCTACCCAGGACAACTGAGTGAGACTCTTATCTCAAAAAAAAGAAAGAAAGAAAGAAATAGGTAAAAGACCATTCTTCAAAGAAAATCTATATGCAAATGGAAAAGACACATAAAAAGAGGCTTATCAACATTAGTCATTAGGAAAATACAAACCCAAACCATAACCCATACCCAGTGTAATGGCTATAATAAAAAATAATTTTTAAATGGGAAATAACTGTTGGAAAGAATATGGAGAAACTAGGAGCCTCATACTTATACTATAAGGTCTGACAATTATGTTTGCAAACTTGCCACTGTGTGCTTACGTTGCCAGCACTGTACAAACAAGTGGGTAAGATTTCCTAACCTCGGTATGTCAGCATCTCATCGCTGTCAATATGTGGAAATGTCTTGCTGGTGGTGTTCATTATTGTTGTGTGTTTTTGTGTGCCATCCAGAGAATGTCAGAGCTTGAATTACACCCATGGGCAAACGTCAAACTTCTTGTTAAACTTGGCAAGAGTGGAAGTAAAATCATGGGCATGCTAGTCCAAGTTTATGGGGATAATGCCATCAAGAAAACAGCAGTGTACAAATGGATTAAATGTTTTTCTGAGGGAAGGAAAACATCACTGATTAAGAGAGGTCAGAGTAGCTAGTAATGAGCAAAACTGACAAAAACATTGCAAAAAAATTGTCAAATTGTGCATCAAAATCATCAGCTGAAGCTCGGCGCCTGTAGCTCAGCAGCTAATTTTGACTAGATAGGCTCTAATTCACCTTAAGGAGAAGGGGAACCAGTGGGAAACTGGTTTGGGAAGATCACTGGTCAGCTCTGGCCCCAGAAATTCAGTCAGACATCCTCTGCAAAGTACTTGTGAACATAGGGATTCGTCTTTTCAGAGAAAAGTAGGGACTTAATCTATGGGTAAGTGGCA